GGTCCACAAACTACGAAACTAATGAGGAGGAAAGCACACGCTGCAGAGGCCGAGACAGTGGCAGAGGATCCGATGATTTGAGCTTATCAAATGCTCCTCCCATTCATATATGTATGTCGCACAGCTTCATCAGTGGCCTGTCCAATGGATTCAGCAGGATTCAGGATTGGGAATTCGTGCAAATGGCAGCAGAAAATCAAATTTAATTGAAGCACAAAATTGCGTGATTTTCCCACTCTCCATTCCTCCATTCTCGCATTGCCAATCCGATTCCTCCCCTTTTTGGTTGCTCCTTCCTGCTGCTTGTTTGTGTCCTTCTCCGCCTTTCTATAGCATTCTTTCAGCCACAATGAGCGGGAGAGAGCCAATTGCCAAGAATACTACTAATTTGGTTAAATGTTTGATTGAAGTTTCGACCAGCTGCTGTTCTGCCTCTCGGTCTCTCTCCGGCAATTAGGTTTAATTATATCCCATATCGTATATCCTGCTGTAACATGCTGATCGAGAGGTATCTATGGGATAGTATGAACAAAATGAGAATCCGAATGCTCGTACAGTTATGAGAGCGAGCGGCTTCCAACCAACGAAACCAACGAGTAGCGAGTGTAAAGTAACGAGCAGCAAGAAGCGTATATCATGAATGCATTTAGAATGAGTGCTCTAGGGTATCCCTAGGTCGTATCCACATTCTCCCTCGTCTCTCTGGCGTTTGTGGTTCACTTAATGACTTTTTTTGTCGCTTTACTTTTTGCTTGAAGGTTGGAGGGGATTTCTCGTTTTGCTTTTAAACAGTTTTCGTTTCCATTCGCTTGCAGCTCCCCTCCACCCAGTCCTGTTTCCATTCTCTCCATTTTATTCGCTTCGTTTCAGTCCATTGACCTCCTGCCATTGTGTGTGTGTGTTGGGTTTTTTGGGTGGTCCTTTATCCCTTTTTTTCCGGTCTGGAGCTGCAGCAAAACAATTAATTTGGCGATTTACTTAATTTCTTTCCTTTCGGGCTTTCGGGCTTTCGGGCTTTCCTTTTGGCCAAAGACTTTCCTCCTCCGGTGCTCCATTTTTGCTCGATTTTGTGATTGATGTGTGGCCAATGGGGGATACGTGAGTGGATTGCCAGACGATGAATCATTCATTGATTGGTGTCTCAGTGTCTCATGTGAGAGACTCATGTGGCATACACTCGTGCACTCGTACTCGTATTTATTCGCATTACTCATATGAGTCCAGCTCCCCTGCCCTGGCCTCTCTTGCCCTTCGTTGGCGGAGATTTCACTTTATCAAACTTCAAGTTGCGTTTTCATTAAGTCTCCATCTCGCTCGTTTTCTTTCTCGTTCGTTCTCTTATTTTCTTTTGCCATCTATTGTATGGCCCCGTCTGTGCCGGCTGCCTTTGGGCCATTCCATTTGCATTCTTCACTGGCTCTCATTCAGCGTTTTCTGCCTGCCTTGTTTTTATGCTCTATGGATGTGAGGCCCCCACCGCCTTTCCTCTATCCCATCGTTGAAGCAATTTCGGGCTGGAGCAACAAATGATGCGTAAGAAATGCTTTAATAAACATGGAAACAGTTTTTTGCTGCCAGGCCTAGAACCGGGTAACCGGGGGTTGGCGAATGGTGGAAGCCTACTCACATTTCCGCACCATTTGGCTCGAGTCTGGGGCTTGAAGTCGCTTTAAGTTACAAAATTCCATCAAAGATGCTCCTGAAATCTCAAAAGCGAATGCAAAGCCATTTTATGTTTCCCATAAGTTTATGTAATGTAAAGAAAGGATTTATTTCCGTCACTGTTGGCGAGTAACGAGTAAATATTCTGGACATAAAACTGATTCAGCGAGTGGGCTAACGATTTTGCATGGAAATATGCAACCATGATTTGACACAGAGAATTGAAAGTAAGTAGTGCACAGAATTGTATCTAGAATTTTCTTTATCGTATACTTTGGCAAAAGTGAAATTCAACAGGCGACCTGTAGCCCCTTTCGAGCGGAGTGTCTTACAAAACTTGGCATTTAACTTTTTCTCAGTGAAATCAATTCGATTCACAAAGAACATAAGACTCAACACAAAAAACAATCTCTATTTAGTTTCTGGGATACTTTTTGGTACTCCCTCTCACCGCCCAACGCCCAACGCTCACCGCTCTCAACCCCTCTGCACACAGACATATATTCCGTTTCTTTAAGGGCTAATAAATATTTAAGCTGCAACTGCAACACCGTAACGGAACGGAACGGAACGGAGAACCTAGAAAAATAGAAAGAAATATATGTGTGTGTGTGTTTTTGCAACCGGAGTTGCAGAAAACAAACGAGCGAACAAACGAGTTGAGTAAATCAAGCCGCACTTCCGCTTCAAGCTTCACTGGGGGTACGGTACGGGTACCCACTTTTGCCTCTGCCTCTGCCTCTGCCTCTCTTGCTTCTTCTCTCACTCTGCCACAAAATAAAGCACCTCATTCCCATCTCCAACACCATCCCGGTCATCCCTTCTTCTTCCCTTTTGCTGCCCTTGAGCCCTTGGGTGGCTGGCTGGCTGGCTGGCTGGCTGGCTGCTGCTTCATTCGTTGTCTGCTGTCTGCTGTCTGCCTTCTAACTGAATGAAAGCCTTGGCGCGTTGACTGATTTCGAATGGATTTTCCCCGCTTTGCATGGCTCTGTGTTTGTATTTCGCTCATTCTGTGTGTGCGAGTGTGTGGTGTGTGTGGTGTATGGGTGGGTGTGTTTGTGAGGCACACACAAAATCCCGTAGGTGCAAAATAGCGCACTTCAGCCAACGAAGCATGTGCACATTTCCTCCTTTCTTCTACTGCCACGTTTTTTGTGTGTTCTGTGTATTTTCTCGCCAGAAAAAAATCAGTCGAAAGAGCGAGATGAAAGGGTATCAGGGGGTGGATATCCTGCATTGTGACCGTCATGGTCATGAGAGTTTCATTACCAAATGGGGAATCGCTCCTATCGAATAACGTGTCAAATATAACGAGTGCAAATGTACCCTTCTTCTGGTTGCATTCTTCATTTAATGAGGGTAAGCGATGAGCGAGAGGGTCCCCAAGTAGAGCCACCGAGACTTGTGGGTCAATACAGGTCATCAATTGCTTCGAGTCGCATCCGTGGCACTTCGGCTCAAGCTGTCGCTCCTTTCCAGAGGCTCCTGCCCCTCCTGTCGACAGGAGAATTGTTGCCTCCGGCTGAGGTTTCCATTGTGTGGCCCATTGTTGTTGGTGTTTTCGTTGGGGATTTTCCCCAAAGAAGGGAGAAAATTGTGCGGCAAAATAAAACAAACACAGAACAAAACACATTGGACGGACGGCTGGGAGGCGGCGGAGCTCGCGCTCGGTTGGCGGGGACGCACTTCTGGGATTGGTTGTCGGTGTGCGGGACTGTAGCTGTAGCCGTAGCTCTTCACTCGTATTTTACATCTCAGCCCCTGCTCCTTTGTTTTACTCATTTTCCTCAACGGCTTAGAGGCGGAGTCGGTGTTGGAGTCAGCGCATGGGGCATGCAATTGCAATGGGCGCGATGTGCTTAAGCGGAAAACAACATTTTGTTGCAGCGTTTTAGACACTTATTTTTTTGCCAGAAGAAAGCAAAAATATATCATGGATAGAGAGAAAACAACCTCAAGCAGCCGTCCATCCATGCATGCGATTTGGCGGTCATTTTGCCTTCTTGGTATTGCAATTTCTTGAGTTCCCATCAATCGGAGCTTGAGGGCGAGGAAAGCTCTGCAAGATCATATATCAAAAAACTGACCAGCCAACTTGGAAGCCAACAAAGGGGATGGATGGCTGTGTGTCCTGTCTCTTGCCAGCTGTTCAAATGCGCATCTGCTTCGTGCTCTAATGCCCCAAGTCCAGAACGAATGTCCGCTAGAGCTGTGAATTATCAAAATAGAATCCATCAGCACTGGACGCAAAGAACTCTGTGAATTTGTGGGTGGAAATGAAAGTTCGCTAGAGAGCTGGAACACACCTGCTACTATTTACCGATCATATCATCTTCGGTGGACCTTTACCTGTTGGCAATAATTTTCCATGAGTTTGTGTCACTTTCTCTCAGTGTTCGTCCACGCTTTGATGTTGGGGCTGGGGGCATGACATGTGTGGCATGTGTTTTTTGTGTGTGGCATTTGCTGACTAGAGCAAATTAGCATTCCACAGAGTCTGAGGGAAACATGTGTTTGGCTGTCAGTAGCCACATCCCCATCCCCGTGTCCATGCCCAAGAAGAGCCACAGCCACCACTGGTATCCTCTTCCCAGCCCCACGATTCGTAAGTGTGTCACATTAAATGATACGCAACACTTGACACCAAAAATGAGGCAAGAGGCGAAAGTTGGGCGAGAAACTAGATGGAAACTAGAATGCCAGGGAAATGGCTGGGAAATGGTAGATTTCTGCTTTATTAATGACTTTCTTGAGGGGGGAAAATCAATGGAAATGGAGAGCCAAGTATGCAATGAAAATGCGAAAATGAATTTAAATGGCAAATGGGAAAAAGAAGAGAAGAGAAGAGGGCGGGCAGGAACATATGCAAATGTGAGTAAAAATCAAAGAGCAACAAAACGGAAATGGTCCCCAGGGAGAGGCACAGGAAAAAGGGTTCACGCACATAAAAGTGGAATATAAAAGGTTAAGGAAACAAAACAACAAGACAATAAAAAATGGCACTAGAGAGAGACAGAAGCAGAGACAGAGACAGAGAAGAGTGACAGCGAAAGAGAGTGCTGGCAGAAGGCTGTCAAGGAGAGTCAAGAGTGGAAGGGAAGTCAAGTGGAGGTGACACACAGGAAATGAAGAATGGGAAAACGTGCTCAAGTTCAATTCGGGTGTTGGAAAGAACTAAAGGCAGGAAGCAGGGAATTGCAGGCCAAATGAAACTGAATGATAGCCTGACACCACAGAGATCACATAAATATCCTAGATCTAGGAACCCTTCGTACACAGTAAATTATCCCAAGCAAAACCACAAAACTGAAAAACTCTCAGCTGGCATACAGCTGTCAAAACGAACTAAAAATTGTTGTGTTTCTGTGCGTAAAGTAAATTTTTGTTCTTGTGAGAAACCTTTTCGAAACGATGCCCAAACAGCAATATGCAAACGACAAAACCAAGCAGCGGCTTCGGGCCAAGGCAGCAGGTTTGGCTGGCAGCAAAAGCATAAAGTCCAAGTACAAACTGAAGCGCAAGTCTAGGTCTAAGGGGACAGTGACGCGCTCACGATCTTCCAAAGGCGGCCGTTCCCTGGGCAAACCCTTGACGAAGCTTCGTTCCAGCACCAAAGCAAAAAAGCGGCTGCAGAAGCAAAGGCCAGCATCCTCGATGCCTACGAAGGGGATGAAGAAAAAGAGAAAGAATGCAGCGGCGGCAGCCAAGAACAAGATGCTGTCCGTGAAGCCAAAGGAAACCAGCAAGAAGAAGCCAACACGTGGCACTCCTGTGCTTTTTCTGGTCAAGGATCCTGGCTACCGTCGACAGTCGATGCCTTGTACCACCCAAAGCAAGGGACACAAGACGCCGCTCCAGCCGACGTCTCAGCTGCCTCGATACGTGGCCACCGGCTCGATGCCAACCGACTCGCGGCTGGCCAGGTTGGGTGTCGACTTCTTCCACCATTTGGGGCAGCGCAATGCCACGGACCCTGAGGAGAACTCCTGGAAGCCACCGATGCGTCTCGCTGCCGGTGGATGGAGCGCCGGTGTCGCCATGAATGTAGATGCGCCCAACACAGAGGTGCCGCTGACCCATCGACTGCCCATCATTGACTTCATCTCCACAAACGAGTTCAAAAGAATGTGCGCCAAGTCCCGAACGACGGGAACTACTTCTCTCTGTTCCGCTCAACAGAGGATGTAGACGATGGACGGAGAGATGCAGATGCGAGGGAGCTGCGAGATGTGTTCCTTCCTTCCTTCCATCATGTCTTTTGGCTCGCAAGTGTTGACAAATTCACTGTGCTACAATATTGTAATAGTTTTTGACTTAAGAAACGAGTTTGGCGATAGTTAACATGGAAAATCGAGTAACTGGTTCCCTAATGGCAATGTAAGAGGTAAGAGAATCAATCAATGGAAAGGAAACATAAATCGCAGTTTTCCGCCAAGCAAATACTCGAGTCTCGAGTGTAACGAGTTTCAAATACGAATATCAAAGAGGGAAACGAGTGTTCAGAGAGTGTTCCTAGGCATTCAATTTGTTGGAAAATACTTTCAAAACATTTCCATTCGCTTTGGGGGTTCGTTTATTTGGACATTCCGCGAATACATACTCCCCGAAATGAAATTGTTGGCCAAAAAAGGAAACGGGTCTGCAGCAGAGCAGCAGAGCAGCAGAAAGAGGGGAAGTATCAGGAGAGGGACGGGGACGGGTACGGGTACGGGGCGAGGTCGAATGGCAGAAAGTGAACTTTTGCGCAAATTATCTGCGTCGCGTTTATTTCGCGCAAACAAATCGCATAACTTTTGCAGACGGCGACCAAGCAGCGACCCAGGAGCAGGAGCAACACCGAGAATTGGAGGCTAAGCTGGGCTGGTGCCTCATCATCATCTTCCTTGCTGGCCCCGTTCCCCGGTCCCCCGTCCACCGTTCATCGTCCTGCAGTTGTAAAAGTTTTGCCGCTTGCTTCGGCACAAAAGTTTCCTTCCTTCGAGCATCGGCGTTGGCCGGGGGGCATCTTGCAGCAATTTACGGGTCTCTTACGTCCTGCTGCCTCTCGAAAAGGAAAACTTCAAACCGAATGGAAGATGGAAACCCAGGCAATTGATGCAGCAGCCAGTCCGCAAACCCTTCTTCTTGCATCGAGAAGAAGAGTTTTTCGGCTTGTTTTCATTTTCGCTGTTGGAGAATTTGCATTTTCCAAGAGGAAAGACGACAGAGGACGAGGGACGAATGCGGCTTTTAACCGCAAACCAAACGGAAATTGAGATTCATTTAATTCATTGTGCGACGGAGTTGAATTTTTCGGGGTTTGCTCTCGAGTTTTGGGCCCAAGGCGGCAAGGGTTAAGAAGCTTCGTTGACAGCTTACTGGAGGAAGGCAGGACCCACGACCAGGCACACCATTAACAGGAGGGAGCTGCTGGAATCGAAACCACAACATTTAAATGACTGCAGCAGCGACAACCACGACAACGACAACGTCAACGGCAAACGCCTTTGCTAATATTTATGCCTCTGGGGGCTGAATAATCGAGGAGCAAGGAGCAAGGAGCAGGTAGCAGGGAAAAGCTGAAAGTTGAAAGCGCAAGAAATTCTTTGATTGCATTCAAAATGGGCGATGGGTTGACCCGATGCACGATGCCCAGCGAATGGAAAGTTGTTCTAAGGTTAAGTGGCAGCCGAAGAGGGTTAAGCATGGGACAGAATGTGACCAAAAGATACGGTTTTTGAGTCCTTCAACTGATTCGTAATGATTCAAACTAGTTTGAACTTGTGGCAAGTAATCGAAACTGCATCGAAGCCAGGATGAGGGGAGCACAAAGAGATGCTTAGGAGAGAGTGTCTCCAGATCGGTGCATCACTCCGACTTATGCCTCATCCAACCCATTTCCCATTTCCCATTCCATCCCCATCCCACTCTGCCATCTCTGCCATCTCTGGCTGTCTCTGGAGTGCAGTCGCATTTAAATTGTGTGGCGAGCAAATTTGGTTTTCGCACGATTTCGTTTCGAATTTTCGCATAAATTAATCATTGGCTTGCTCCAAATTCGGTGCGAAATGGTCAACGATTGAGTGGGAGAGAGAGGGCGATTGATAATGCTGCTAAGGGGTGGAAGGGAGGTGAGGTGAGGCGTCTCGTGTCTTGGATTGTACCGAGAAAGGAAACAGCAAAAGAGAGTGAGAGCATTGGAGAAAGGGAAGTGGGTGAATGGGTGAATGGAGGCACAACCAATTATGCAGGATGCAAGTGACACTCCAGCGGAGGCCTCCTTTCCATTCACATGAGCTTCCTGCCACATGGAGCGACCTGCTTATTGAACGCAATTACCTGACACACTTCCTCAGCACTGTAGCTGCACCTGCAACCGGCACCTGCACTGACTGCACTTTATGCACAAAACGATGCCAATGCACGGGTCAAAGTTCAACCAGACAGGGACAGACCGAGAGAGAGAGCGAGCTAGAGAGAGAGAGAGAGATGTGTGGAGAAAACTTTCGTTTTCAGTACTTTGTTAATTAGGAATCTCCACCACGCAGCAGCCCACCGCCCGACCACCCACTAGCAACCAATTGACCCAATAATCCCATAGCCAAAGAGATCAACTTTACCGAACCGAAAAAAACCAAAACATAAACAACAAAGTAAACAACAAAACTGCAATATTAAAAAACAAATGGGCGGGGGCATGCCCCATGCCCCAGCCGCCATGCTTCATCTCTGAAAGCGAAAAGCAATGCCCCACACACACACAAAGTTGGGAAACTGAAACCGAAACTGAAACTGAAACCGAGCATTCTACTCTTAGATAAAATACAAAAAAAAAAAGAAGCAGTAAAAAACCGCAGCTAAACGAAAGAGAAACTGTTCCAAAAACAACTTGGTTTATGCAGAGACTGATCGACCATTTGATGACCTGTAAGAGCAAGAAGTTCACCATGAAAGTAGGGGATTTATCGGAGAATGATTCGAAAGATTCCAATATGCATTTTCGCTGGCACATCCTTCGCCTCGAAATTTGTTTGCCTCGAAGCTGCGGCGCTGACAGGCAGCAATCGTTCGGCTCTGATCCAATCCCCTGTCCAGTTAGCTGCCAATTAGTCCACAAGAATGTCCACATACTGATTGGCTTACAGGGTAGCCAAAGGCAGCAAAAAAAAAGAAAGAAAAAACGCAGCCAAAGTGACCTCGACCCGGACTATAACTTGTAGTACATTTTGTTGGCCATTGTTTTTTCCGTTTTGGGCCACCCACACAGCCAAGTGGGTTGGGCGGTGGGGAAGGGGATGAATGGATTCGCGTTTGACCATTGGGCAGGCGGGCAGGCAGTCAGGCAGGCCAGTTATCGCAATCGCAATTGCTATCCATTTCATTTACCGCAGGACAAATTTTTATTGCTGACCCAAGCAGCGGCAACAACAGCGGCCAAAAGGACAGCACAGCAGCAAGGACAGTTGTGGCATCAATGTGGCATTGTTTCAATGTATTCGCTTGTATTCGCATACATACATATACATATACATATACATATGTACGAGTATGTATGAAAATTGCCGGAAAAGTTGCTGCAATTGTCCTCATTTTCTTTCAGTTAAGGACAATTTTATTGTTGTTCTGTAAACGCCTTCTCCTGCTGCTGCTGTTGGCCTGCCACTCCGCCCACCAATAAATGTTGTGCAACATTTTACATAAATAACAAGGACTCGACTCGACTCTGCCCCTGCCCCTGCCCCTGAGCCTGAGCCTGTCCCAGCCCCAGCCACATGTCCCCTGTCCGTTTTGACAGTCGTCAAGTGCATTGTGCACTTTGCCAAAAACAATTTTGCATTCATGCAGCTTTCCCTTTCCCCTCTCTGCCCCTCTCTGGCCCTCTTGCTCTCGTGTACTCTTTCGAATATAAAGTATGAATACTCGTTCTCGTACGTTTCCTCTGTCAAGGACACTCCATACACATACATACATACATACATGAGTGCTGTTGCGGGGCTTCAAGTGTCCTGTCCGCCAGTCTGTCACAGTGTCCCCCCGTCCACCCCTGGCCAACCCTGTCCGACCGTGTAACCACAACTCAAAAGCATGTTTAATTATGTTGACAATATGCAAATAACTTTATGGACAGCCAGAATAATTGCATTTCGGTCGTTTGCGGTCTGTCGGTTGCCTTGGTCTGCCTTCAGTTTCAGTTTCAGTTTCAGTTTCTGCCATTTTTTGTGCTCCTTTTTGATTAGGATTTCTCTTGAGCTTTGAACTTCAGAGAGCGATCGAACACCAAATCGATGGTTGGCTTTAAAATAAGCTCGTTTTATTCTAAATACTTAAAACATTCATATTCATAGCTTTGTAGGTATTGTTTTGAATACTTTCTCTCATTATTGACTTTCATTTCGGGCACAACAACCAACGAGCCCGAACGAACTTCAAACAAGTTCGAGCTAAGGATCGAGCGCGGGTCCGATCGGTCTACTTTGGTTCGAAACGAACACGCGCATGTTCGAATCAGTTCGAATCAGCTTGAGGTCTGGCAAGTACTCAAAGTAGGTTCAGGATTGATCGACTGGCTGGGCTGGCTTGCACTGCCATGCTTGTGGGTGCTGGGCGGGTGGGACAGTCGCGTACATGCATATAATTGCCATTCATAATGCGGCGGTGTCGTGTTAGTTAGTGCCTTGGAGTCCTTACATTGTCCTTACAGACAATGAATGTCATGTGGTGATTAGCATTTTGAATTGCCAGCAGTTTGGCCAACATTTGCAGGGGCAGGGGCAGGGGAAGCAGTGTGTCGCTGACAATCTGAACTCCTGGGTATCCTTGACTCCTGGCAGCCATGGATATGCCAGTGGAGAGGAGTGGTGTGGTGTGGTGTGGAGTGCCTTTTCCATTGTTGTCCCATCAAATGCTGACTGGCTCCTGCTGCTGACTTGGCAATTTATGCTGACAGAATGGCTCTGTATGTGTGTTGGATAAAGGGCGAGGTGGAGCGTGAGGTGTATGCAGAGTCGTCTCCTAATTGGATAACATAATATTTAACTAATTTATTTGGATATACTTGATAAATGGGGGAATGCCATGTCAAGCATTTAAATGGAAATTCGCTTGTCGCTTTGCTGCAGAATGCAATTTATGTCAAGGAGAGTGGGAGAGAGAGTCGGAGTCCACAGAGACCTGAAGCCAAACCCCAAAAACACAAACTGCAAATCCCAGGAATACATATTCCCCCTTCCTTAATTCCTCACCATTTCCCTCAATTTCCCCAGCCATCGCACATTCATTGGAACAATTCGTGCGTCCCTCGGAGGAGGAGAGGCGTGTCCTTCTAATCAAATTATCACAAAATTCAATGAATTTCAAATGAGCAAAATCGAATCGAAATCATCTCTGAATCAGCAGCAGCACAGCAGCAGTTCAAGTGCCTTTGATAGAGTGTGGGAGAACAATTATTTGATTTAATTTAAATTTTGGATAATCTTTCTAATGAATTGTTGGATACACAAATGAAGTGAGACAAAGCAGACAGAGGAGTGGAAAGGAGGTACAATTTAAAGGTTTAAGTACAGTTTTTGCACAAGATTAAAGATGAGTGTGCCTAATGCATGTGGCAAAAAATGGACAGACGAATAGATCGATTGAATTGCGTATAAAGGGGACAGAGTATGGGTTGGAAAGGTGAAAGCAGTGTACGCTGGTAGAACTGAGGCACACACATGTCACAGCACATGTGTTGGCATTAACGAATGGATATCAGCATCGTGTAGCCTGGCTTTAGGAACAAAGCAGCATTGAGAGAGTGAATAAAACCTCTAAAGTTGTATTCCTCTGTATCCCTTAATCGATTGCCACTCATTTCATTCATTCATTAAGCGAACGAGACGAGCGAAAGCCTCAATTAATGAATACCCAAACGAATGTTGATGTTGATTCTGATTCTGATTCTGATTGATTGATGTTACCGGACTTTTCGCACTTTCACACTACTCGTACTCGTACTCGTACTCGTAATCCTGGTTCTTCCACATATCCTTGTGGTTGTGTTCTACACTTCTCGACGGCCATAATGTGTATCATTGTGGTCTGGTGGATGATGACCGTCCATGGCCTTTTATGCCTTTTATTGCCTACCTTTTATCCCTGCCTGAAAGCTCAGTGCTCACAGCTCAGACCTTCGACCCGCTTCCCCCTGCAGATATCTGTGGCTGCTTTCTTTATACGCAGAGTCCTTGCAACTAATTGATAATCAAGTGACCCCTCGCACACACACACACACACACACACACACGGACACACAAGAAGGACCATTAGGGGACGCACTTGAGTGTGTAGCAATGTGTCAATTAACAATTTGCGCGCACTGTGTTTATGATGGTCGAGTGGTCGTTTAGTCGGTTGTATTCTGTACTCTGTACTCTGTAACTCACTCACACAAAATTTATGCGCATCATTAGAGACGACTATACGTATATTTAGTGTTCTACAGGGAAGATTCTATGGGCAGACGGGCAGGCAGTCCACTCAATTTGTTTGCTTCCATTCCCATGAACAGCTAAGTGGCTCAAGTGACTGTTAAACGAGTGCTCAAGCTGTACAAAATCCCTTCGCCCCACCCCAACCCTCAATTGATGTAAAATGTTTTGTTACGAAAGTGTCAACGAGTGGACAGATCTTGTGGTGGCAATCGTACGCCCAGGCGCGGGCTATCTTAATGTCGAGACACGTGGGTATGTTTGTTTTTAATTGAGCTAAGCCACACTGTGAGAGGGAGAAAATGTAAAATGTTCATTGGTTAACCAATCTGTAGATACAACAAGTCTCAAATGAACAGATTTCCCTGTCGATGCTTTGATTGGCTTTTGAGATTAATGCCATGTGGAAGTTTCCAAGCCATTGAATGGCCAATTAGGCAAATCAAATTGACCAAAAAGCTAACGATTGAAGGAGAGACAGAGAGAGAGAGAGACTCACAAACATAGACGCAGACTCACACTGGAACTTGTACCACTCATTAAAGCCAATCAAAATCATGGCCCAAAAGAGACAAAAGGATTGTAGCCGGCGGGTGAACCAGGGTCAGGGGTCGTTCTGTGCCCCATAGAAATTGCATTCAACGGAAGGCAAGGCAATGAATGAATTAACGGTAGTGGAAGCGAATGGATTGGAGTGGAGTGGAGTGGAGTGGAGTGGATTGTGTGTGTCTGATGAGGTGATGAAATCGCATTACAACAATTAAACATCCCACGGATACGGATGCACACAGATATGCATACACATTGGCAATTCGTATATTCAGTCGACTATTTTGTGCTGTCTCTTACTCGGCTGCTTTTGTGTCTAACAAAAGACTTAAAGGCTTAAAGGCAATTGAGAGAGACAGAGAGAGAGAGGAGCGAGAGGTGGAGCAGCAGGCGTGGCATTCAATCAACGAAAATGGAAATGAGAGACGTGAATGAGAGGCTGAAGAGGCAGCAGGCGCACACACATGAATAAGTGCCAGACCAGAGTATGTGTGTGAGTGTGTGTGTGTGTGTGTGTGTGTGTGTGTGTGTGTGTGTGTGTGTGTGTGTGTGCGTGTGCGGGGCGCACTTATTCATTCATTTTGTATACTAATAGGCAGCACAATCAGACAGAAATGACACGACAATCAGTCAAACAAACAAACGGACAGACACATACGCACACACATACAACTGACAAGCAGCACACACACACACACACACACACACACACACACAACAGCGGGATGGATGGTGGCAGAGAGCTGAGCCGCACACAACAAACGACATTATCCAAAGTCAACAGCAGAAAACAAATCAAACGCACACACACACACATACAAGCGGAGATGAGCCACACTGGGAGAGAGAGATAGTGAGTGAGAAAGGGACAGAGAGCAGGAAAGAGATAATGTGTGGGTGCCAGCCAGCCAGCCAGCACATTCACGCATGTTAGGTGCTGGCCTCTTTATGTTTTATCTCAAAATGCGATGCTTGGCTGCTGATGAGACTGAGACTGAGACTGAGACTAACATCCCCTCCCAGCCTCACTCTCTCAAGAGTTGGAGGCATCCCATACACACACAGACTGGCTATGCCAGAATTTGAGTGGCAGATGATTTCATTTCATTTCAAAACAAAAAAATATAGTTATTAGTCCATAGTTGTGCTGGAAAGTGTCACTGCTGAAGGGCAGTCTGGGTGTTGGTAAACAAGAAAACGAATGAAAAGCAGACCTAAAGCCATTTACCTTTTCTTTCCCATTGTGGCTTAGCAGGTGGGAAAATGCTGCATTTCCATCCATGAAGGGTATCCTCCAGTGGTTGTGCCTGTCACTCGCCGGTCGCCAGTCTGTTGTTTGCTTGTTAACTTTGACATCCACTCCGCCGCCGCCGCCGCCGCCGCCTCTGCGTCCTGCTCCGCTGACTGCTGTTTTGGATGTTGGATGTTGGATGGATGTTTGCGACTGCATAAACCGCTTAGCGTAGCGTAATTTAAATCCCCTTTTGTTATGCCACAAAACTCGTGCGGCAACGTAAAGCAACGCAAAAGGAAAAGCCTTTCAAAAATGATTATCATAATGGGCCAATGGGCAAAATGTGGTGTTTGTGTGTCTCTGTCTCTGTCTCTGTCTCTGTCTTTGCCACTGGCTTGGGCTTCTGTTTTGTTTTTGTTTTTGTTTTGTTTCTGTTGTCTCTGCCATTCAGCAGATACTTTTGGTTAGGCCTTAAAGATGCTTTTGCTTGTGTAACTTTAATCGGTAATCATCTCATTAGCGAATGCTGGGCCACAGATTCTCATAATTGTAATCCCAGAACAGAGCAAAGTTGTGTTATGTGGCGATAAATGCCAATGGCAACGACAACCCTGGCTAATTATCAGGGTTTCCCCCACACCCAGACAGCTCTCTCCCCACTTGTGTTGTGGCACCTGAAAAGTTGCAACAAATCACAAATAAATGTCGAAGCTGTGGATTGAAATTGGATTGAGGTTTTTGGTTTTCGGTTTTCGGTCTGCTCTCTCCAAATTCCCCGCCACTGCTTGTCTCTGTTGATTTTTCTCTCTATTTTTCTACGGAAAAGTCTCATGCACTTCAACTTCTGTTTTCTGTTTCTGCTGGTCGTTTTTCCATCTGTCTGTCTGTCTGTCTGTCTGTCTGTCTGTCGAACAGCAGCAGAACATTTTCCATGTGGCAGGCGAAGAAGGACTCTGGCTGGAGGCAGCCTGGAGTGTAAGTGTATGTGTGTGGCAGGAGAAGGCGTGGCAAACATTGGCAATGTCTGCACGCGATGTTTAACGTCTGGCGGGTGTCCTGCCACATGCCACATGCCCCCTGCACCCTGCACCTCATGGCCGCACCACCCAGACGATAGACGATAGACGATAGACGATAGGCAAATGCAAACAAGAAACTTTTTCGGCTACAAAACGGGGAGCAGAGAAAGGGTAATGGAGAGAACCGCCAGCTAGACCTTTCTCTCGCTTTATATTTTTATTTTTTGTTTGTTTTTGTTTTTGTTGTTCTGCCCTTTTTCTGCTGTGTGGTGTGTCTGCTTCCTGCGTTCTGCTTCCTTCGTTTTGGCCAAGCACCGCCAATCATTGGCGTAAATTGAGCTCATTGTGGTCTAACACCATTACACCGCTGCCCCATGCTCCATGCCACACGATGCCACCAAAGAGGAGGAGTAGGAGGATCGAGGCATATGTACATGCGATGCTCGTATGTGTGGGGCAGAAGGAGCCATCGAAGAAGAACTCAGCGGCAGCGGCAGCGGCAGCAGAGGAAGAACCACAGATAGATGGAGTTGCCTGCTGCCAAACGACATGCACTGAGAGAAAGACGAGAGAGAGAGCTCATTCGTGCTCATGCATCTCCTGCCACAGATGCCACAGTTGTTTCTGCCAGTGCTGTACCCTTCCACATCCGACCAAAGGTGGGGCACGGGCGCAGGCGGCTGGGAGGCGCCTGTGTGAAGTCGTTAAATGCGGCAAAGTAAAATAAATTGAGCCAAGTCATGTTTCGAGCATGAAATGCATTTTTATTGCAAACCCCAGCAATGGAGCAATGGGGCATGTGGCATGGGGCAGCATGCAGTGACTAGTTTCGGGGCAACAACCACCGAGCCACCGAGCCACCGAGCTACCGAACTATTGAAATGCACAAGATATTGACTGCTGAATGCCCCGACAACCGACAGTCTAACGACTGCTGCTGGCTGGCGGGATGGGGGGACTCATAAAGTTCATAAATTTACAAGAGGCATGCCACATGCCCCCGTCAAGTTGCAAGTTCCGTTTGCAGCCAGAAGAAGTAGGCAAACTTTCATCGAATGGAAATTATTATTTCATTTATCAGTTCTCCCCAAGAAGCGACAGGGCGAGACGGAGAGAAATTTAAATTTCCGTTTCGCCGCCGACTGTTTACAGTGCCTCCAGTTTGTTCGGGGCACTGCCAATGATGCATTGCCATTCCTCTAGTGATTCATGAATGAATACGTGTATACTCAGGGTTATTCATAATTCAGTCTGCTTAAAGGCATTTTTATGCCTTGTACATGGCAAGTTTTAGGAACTTCCATTTAAATAGCTGCTTAAATCTGTTTTGTTTTCTTTTTGCTCGGATTCGCATTCACACATTTGACTAGCACTAAGACTCATTCATTCACTCATTCATTCATTCATTCATGCTGTGAACTAATAATTAATTCAAGTCTTTATCTACTTCTTATCTCGTTCGCAGGTGAGTGTTGCCCCAGAAGTAAATGTTAAATGGAAGACACAGGGGGCCATGCGGCTCTAGATGGAGGCGGGGCTGCCCACTAATTGCCCCCGTTTTGCAGGATCCCTGTGCCACTCACTACCCGCTGTGGCAGTGGTATTGTAGATGTAGCTGTGGCACTGCCACTCTCAGTCGCAGTCGCAGTCGCAGAGAGTGTGTAATGTAGCCAACTCCCATGTTCTATTTTGGTGTTTTCTGTTTTCTATGTTTTGCCATCCTCCGCCCTTCGGCCACCACAAAAACCACTTCCCTCCTGCAGTTTCATAAATTTTAATGTAATATTTCCATGTTGTACAATTTTCGTGGCTAGGAGCAAGGGCGGAGTGTGGGAGTGACGGGGAGAATAGCGCTTACAACTCCGAAAATTATGCTATAAAAATGCACTGCCACTAATTAGGCCAACAAACATGGCCAGAAAAATAACCAAAAAAAAAGAAAAGAAAATACTACTAAAAGGAAGGGAGATTTTCCTACAAAAAGAAATTAACACCACCAACAAAAAAAAAACACACACAAAAATGGGAGGCAAAAATTGAGGAAAAATAGAAGGAAAATTAGAGGCAAGAGCGGCGGCAGAGTAAATGCGTTGCCCTGCCTCCCTGCCTACTGCTCCCTTTTCCCTAACAATATTATATTTCTTTTTTCTTTCGTGGAGAAACCTCAGTAGTCAAGCCACCAGCCACCAGCCACCATCCTCTCTCTATGCATCCTCTTCCTCCTGTTCTCCCACTCAATTCCCGCTCGCATCTCGCGCCCCATTTCTGTTGTAAGTGTAATCATCGCACGATGAAAGCCGCTTACAATAATTGCCCCATCTTGTCCGGACATCGTGTCCCGTGTCCACGTCCTGCTTCTGCTCCTGTTCCAGAGGATACCATTTCATTTTTTTCCCTGTTTTTTTTTTCCGTTTTCTGCGCTCGGCCCTGTCTGCCAGAGGCCCATCCAGCATTCATTTGAAGTTGCAACGTTTTGTGTCGATTTCCGTTCCGTTTTTTGCGCCCAAAAGTAGCGCGGAAGTCGAGAGTGGCCAAGTCGGGGGTGGCGGAATGCGGAGTGCGGAGTGCGAGGGACCAGAAGAGTCTAGTGGCTTTTCATACAGAGCAAATGTAAATTGAATCAAGTTATTAGCAAACTTTCCAAGTGAATTAGCCGCCAAAGGGAAAACGCGCTTAATCTACAAGAAATTTCACAGTTGCTTGGCAAATTCAAAGAGAGAGCCACACAGAAAGTAGATGTTAACCCATCAGATATTCGATAAGAAATTACTTGTAATAATATTCTAAGAAAGGAAGCAGTGCCAAAAGTGTCAAATGATAATGAGGCACAGGGAAGAAATTTGCTTGAGATGTGGAGTACCATTCGCAGCAAGAGTTTGCTGTTTGCTATGTTTATGCTCTACCAAAGACAATGAATGGCACATCATTTGGCTGATTCAATTATAGAAATTGCTTCGGTTGGGTTTTGGTTTTGGTTTTTGCTGGATTTATTTTCCATTGAGTTACCATTCGCTGTCTTGTACATTTTGGTGGGGTGTGTCTGCTTGTTACACCAGTAATTTTTAGATGTCTGAGTGTGTTTTGTGTGTTTGAATGTGCAAAAACCCCAGAAATATGTTGTGTCAATGATGTTTTCATATTCTGAGTGCCGTCTGCCGTCTGCCGAGTGACGAGCGACGAGCGACGAGCGACGAGCAGCGTGTGTAGAGTTATTTTTAATCGTCAGTCTCATCCTCTTCAGCCTCTGAAGTAGAGCTGTCATCAGTGCCGTACTCGCTACAATCGTAGCGCTCGCTCAGGATAAACTCTTCATCGAGTTGTTCCTCGATACGAGCGGTGCGACAGTACTCCTCTACGGTGTCGGGAATAACAACATCATCGAGCATTGCCATCTCCTTCCATTCGGTCTTCTGAAGAGCCAAACGATCCAAGAAGGACGTGTCCTTGCCATGCGAGTTGCGCCATTGATTGTACAGGTGAGCAGCGTCCATGTTGCACGGCCATTCAGTGTCGGGGCTCGTCAAGAGCGATACCAGCGAAAGCAGCACGGTGCTGGCACTCATCGTGGGGAGCCAGGTGCCATCGTGGAGAATCGACATGTAGACCATGCCATTGGCATGGACGTTCGGGTGGAACATCGTTGTGCGGAAGTAAAATTCCGGCGACTGCATCGGATAGTTGAAGGGGAACCGCATCGTGGCCTTCAGATACGCCCCATGGTAAAAGGTGTTTGGGGGCCCGTAGATGCCCACATCCCACTCGAAGGGATCGTCCTCACGGACCAGTCTCACGCGGAAGCCCTCGAGCTTGCCCTTCTTCAGCTCCGCGATCTCCTTGTACAGGACGCCCACAGCCATGATGGTCGGTTGTGTTTCAGTTGGTTTTGGTTCGCCCATTTCTTTGTCTGGAGAAATGTGCCGAGTGTTTCAGTTTTTTATTTTTTTACTCATTTTATTTTTACTTACTTGTTTCGTTTCCCTGTGTTGTCGACGTGGAATCGATTGTAAATGTGAGTTTCGGTTCACATGAACTGACAGTAAAGCGAAGCCCACTTGGATGCCCAAAAAATCAGCAAAGTCATGTAGAAAGTTCGAGAGAGAAAGAGAAAGCTAGAGCGAGAGCGAGAGCGAAAGAGACAGGGTAGTAAGAGCCTTTTTCGCCTGACAAATAAGTCCATGCCATGTAAATATTTAAAGCGCTTTTGGTCGGTCAGTCATAAATGTAATTTATGGTATTTTTTTCTCCTCCTAGCCTCTCTCAAAAGTTTTTGTTGCTGTTGGCTGTCCTGCCCTTTTGTTGTCCTGTCAAGGATGTGGTTGGGCCACACAGACGAGGGTCACAGCAAAATGTTGGCAAAATTAAAAGAAAAATGTTACTTTTTCTGTGGTCATTTATGTCATTTCATATTTATTCAGCGGCCTTCCCTTCTGTATAATTGGCAATACTTCCTCTCTTCCCCTCTTACTGCTGTCCCAGCGGCAAAAAGCTTTCAAAAATGCCACAAAAAATAGAGATCTATAGAAAGAAAGCAAGTGTGCCCTTTGGCTGGGTCGAATGTTGTGATACCCTTTTTCCTTGTGCCGCTCTCGCCGCCACCCTGGCTTCCGATGACACCCATACGACCTTTCTGTTTCTGGAAAGGGTATTCGACAGTGGAGTAAGCCCAAGGAAAACGTTTGAAAATAATCGAAACTAAAGCCAGCAATTTGTACGGGGTGGAGAGAATTTTCACCAAGAATTTAAACGAAGTGGCGTAGAGTTGCCTGCTTAAATATAAATCTATGTAAATGCATTTAAAACGAGTGGTCAACGAGTGGAATGGAAGGTTTAAGAGCAGCAGCAAGAGCAGCAGTAGCAGAAGGAGATGCAGGAGAAGCAGGAGATTAATTGAGTTGCCACAACACTCTTCTGTGCACATCCATAGTCACCGACAGAGCCACAGCCACAGCCACAGCCACAGCCACATCTGTGGGGCATGCTCTCCTGCTTGACCCGCATGCACTTGCATCACGCATACGCCATGTGGCAGACTGCTTTACTGCTGCAACACTCTTCTCTCCCTGCTCCTTCTTCTTGCTGCTATTGACTTCGTCCCAAAAAAGAGTAGTTGGCGAGGGGAGCGAGGAGAAGCGAGGAGGAGGGACCGCACACACACAGGGGAATAAGCAAAATAGAGGAAGGAGGGGAAAAGTCTTTCTGTGGCCAGCACTTCTTGAATATTTTATTGTATTTTAATTAACTAAATCCTTTGGGGGGGGCAAAACCCTCTTAAAAACTCAACCGAAAATTGACTAAGCTCAAAACTTGTTGACACTCATCGTTCGCTCTCCCTCTCGCTCCCAGTTTGGCTTTGTCTTTATGGCTTTCTGGGATATAAATCAGCATTAAAAAGTGAAGGAAGTACGGAAAAATAGTCGGAAAATGTCAGAAAAGTCAAGAGCCATTGAGAAAAAACTTTTCTAAGCCTTAGCCTGTCGCTTGAAGCCCCTGAGGGGAGTGGGATCATGCCTCTTGGCTAATTTATCAGCAAATTGTTAAATGCAAGCAGCGACAACGACCACGACAACGACACGGCGACTGCAGCTGGACTACCAAAGTAAAGCCCCAAAATCTCACTTTGACAAATTAAATATTGACCAGAGGCCAGCCGGCCAAAATGGGAGATGCGAGATTGTGGGGGAGGCAACGTCTAGACGGAGGCGCTGCTGCTCCTTCGAAGGAATCCCGAGAAATGCTCGAGCTTCCTATCCCGCATAAATGCACTTAAATGGGTGAACGGAGACGGGGACGGGCACTTTTGGTATTCACTCTTTCGGGCCTACTCGAAAGCCAAGGAAAAAAGCCTGACAGCAGCTTCTCGCCACCGTTCTCACCCTTTCTCCCACCACCTCATGGACCCTAGACCCACACCCCTCGGCAGGGTCGCAGCTGCACGTAAATATTTGCCGCATTTTTTATGCTACCACAAAATACAGAAAGAACAGAGGGAAAACTCTTCACCAGCCGCCACCAGTGCTTTTTGCACTGAAAAGGGGTTGGCCGGGGCCGAAAACCTTTTTATGCGATTTGCGTTTTTGTCATAAATTTAACAGCAAGTAAATATTTGATTTGATTTTCGCTTTTGGGCTACCCCTAGACGAAAATGGCATCAGTGTTGATTAAATGCCAATTTTGGCAGCATTTAAATTCTGATGATGCCCGGGATAGGCCAGGCTTTTGTTTCGGATTTAATTGAAAATTGTAAATGTTCACAGCCAGAATGATTGCGGTAGAAAATGAGGTTGGATAGGTCATTCCTCTGACGATGGCGATTTAAAAACTAACTCACTAATGGAATACAATCGAATTTAACGGATTGACAGTTTTATTGAGAGCTCTTTTACTCATGTAAATATTGCAGAGCTTATTTAAATATTACATAGTACAATATAGTATGCACTTTTTGAAATGGCCGGAAAGGTCACAGAGAGAATCATATATCATTGGGTCGTGGCACCTCCGCCGCCAACTCTTCTCTTCTCTGCCCTGTTCCTGTCCCTGCCCTTTACTTTCCTTTCCGACCGTTTTTGTTCTCTTCAGCCATCACTTTTTCTAATGGAAATAATTGGAAATTAGGAAAAATTATGATGAGACTTTGTCTTCTCTCTCCGCTGCTCTGTCATCGTCCTTTCATGTCTTAGCAACCGGAGGAGGCTTTGCACACACAGCGAGAGCTGTGCGTTCCACACACACACACACACACACACACACACACACACACACGTGACGTAGCGAAAGGAAAATGAGCATAAAACAAAGTTTATGTGCAACTTTTTGATTACAAATGCAAATTACAGCCTCGACTGTCGACGGAAGCACTGCTTCAGAGCAGCAGCAGCAGCATAAAAAAAGACAAAAAAAAAAGAGTGCTGAAAATATAAGGAGGGAAAACTTTTTCATATTGCAGTAGAAATTGCGTCAATTTTTGTTTGTTTGTTTGCGTATTTGTTTGTTTGTTTGTTTGTTTGTTTGTTTGTTTGCTCGTTTTGTCTCTCTGTTTGCCCAACGCCTTTTGACGCTCTCGCTCGCTGCTTTCAGGCAGCTCCGACAAAAGTTGACAAAACATTTCATTTTCCGAGTGGCAGAACGAGCCCACCCCCCACCAAACCAAAAGAAAAAAGCGCGTAATCATAATGCCATGAGGGGAGCATGAATGGTTGGCTGACAGGCGGTCTCCGCTTGATTGCATTACCGGAATGGCAAATATACATATTTAAATGCGTTAGCATAAAAGATCCTCACCACAGAGGATTGAAGAGTAATATCTCTCTCTCTGTCTCGGCTCCTGTCCTGGAAATAATTTGGGAAACTTCCACAATGATTTGCCATCACTTGTGGCCGTAAAATGTTTTGCAATCCGATCAGACAATCGAACAACCGGACATTCGGCCACGGGGTTGAAGCATCAATTTGTTGGCCCCTGACAGCGGGCTGTCGCTTATAAATTGCCAAACGACAAGAGGCTCTGACATTTAACATCCGGTTCGAAAATTGTCCAACTGGTGTCCCTGCTGTACTTCCTCTTCCTCTCGCTCCCTTTCTCTCTGACTCTTCCTCTGCTTCTGTCTCCGCATTTCGCTGAGAGAGCGAGTGGCGGAAGGAGGTGATGTCCTCGACCAGCAATTAAACGCTTATCGAAAAGTTGGCCCACAAAAAGGGCGAACAGAAAAGCAAGAGACAGAGTAAAGAGTGCAAGAGATAGAGAGAGAGAGAGTGAGAGAGGGGGGGCAGACAATGAGCTTCCTTGCATATAATTGAGGTTATGGCCCCCCGAAAACTTTTCGCAGGAGCAAAAACATTTTCGTTTTTGGCTCGTAAAAAGTTTCTCCTTCACAAAAATAAGTTTTGAAATGTGTCCACCTCTCACCTGGTGGCCCCGTTGTTGCCACCAACCATCCCTCTCCACCACCGTGTTGCATATGCGGCAAATAACTGCAGACAAAAGCTAAAGAAATTAATTAGGGTCCCTCTCCCTCTCTCTCTCTCTCTGTGTCTCTCTCTCTCTCTCTGCCACTAGCAGTGCCACCATCGTCATTATCCTTACATCATTATCACGGGACGGACACCCCGTAGACACCGTAGATACTGTAGATATCGTCAACCTGCATCAAAACTAGCAGACGGATGTCACCCGTAAACAAGGACGACAGAGAATAAAGAGCGAGAGATTGGATAATGGAGAATGTAGAATGTAGAATGTAGAGTTGGGGGAATGGGCAAATTTAGCTGTTGGCATGGAAACTAATTGCCACACATTGAGTAAGGATGTGGAATGTGTCAAGGAATGTCAAAGTGCAGGAGTGCCCAACCAGAAGCTACCCCCAGATAGCTGAAGTATTTTAATAAGAAAAGAAAAGGATCATGCTTAATCATAAACGGAATAAAAGCAAACAAAAATTGATACTTTTTGTCCGCGACAGGGCTCGAACCTGCAATCTTCGGATGGCCACATGGTGACGGCTGAAATTATGTGTGAATGGCATACTTAATGGGCTGAAAGAAAATAAATAATAGGAAGTTGTGGTAACACTGTCAGAGATTTCGCAGTGTCTGCTGTGGGAATGCGGATGCTAAAGAGGAAGTGGAAGTTTGTAGAAAAACAAAGCTGGGCGCTAATTAAGCAACGCTCTAATGAAGACACAAGAACAGGCAGAGGGACAGTCGGAAGAGACAAAGAAAACAGGAGGAGAAGCAGAATGTGAGACTGACGGATGGACAGCCAGCCCAGCCCAGCCCAGAGAGAATGGACAAAGGTGCAGGCTGTTCTGCTGCTTCCTGGATGCCGCCGCCTCATTTGGCAGACACAACAATAGACACGTTCCATACGCAGCGCAGCAAATGAAAAGCTTGAACAAAAAATAAAATAAAAAAAACACGGGAAAAGAGCGGAAAGAATGCAGGGAACATGTCACGGAAATGTGCAAAATGGCTTGGAAGCAGCTCGCTCGCTCGCTCTCTCTTCTCTTCTCTATCTTCTTCGTTTTCTTCGT